AATTTATCATACTTGAGCTGGGAGATTCAAAGGCATGAAGTTAAACATCCATTCTTGAATTACAAATCATTTTTGGTGAAAAACACATAATCCAATCTACGTGATATGCTGCATAAGTTTGTGTTACAGGCCTTCTAACTTACCAATCTCACCACTATTTAATGCATACACAAACTTTTGAGCTATGGACCATTTGATTTAAGCATTGTCCAAGTGATCTTTCCATTTTTGGCACAAAGTTAAGATTATCATTCTTGCAAAGTAGCTTTAATCACAAAGTCAGCTCTTCTTGAGTCTATAACTTGTTCCTTCTACACACACTCAACACATAAAATCATATGAGCATGCTTAAAGTGTCCAACAATTCTATGTAGAAAAGTATAAAGCATTGGAACTATGATCTTCAAGCTTGCTTCATTGACAATCCAACCTAGCCATAACATGTGATCTTGCAAAATCTGATCAACCTTTGTCCCAAAACTTTTACCTATAAATAGAGAGATCAATTTCAAGAGATAGAGGTCATAAAAAAGGAAGAAAAACAAGCACTCAAAACTCATATACTCTTAAAAAACCAGATTTGTCCACAAAACCTCCATTTTTGAGCTTTGAAGTCCTAATATTTGAACCTCTGAAACCTTGCAATTTTTTGCCCACACAAACCATCCAAATACTTCATATACATCATATAAAAGTTGTTCAAACACAGGAACAACTTCTGTAACAACACTATCACCATTTTCCAAACTTAAAAACAGCCACCTGCAACTTGACTTCTCCAAGACAATACAACAACTCTAAATCAAAACATGAATTTCAGTTTCAAGGTAAGTTTTCTTGACTTTGAACTCTTCATACAAGCATAATTAGTGGTTCATTTGTGAAGATAAAATGTAGATATCATTACCCTGAAGTTAACCATATGCTTACTTTTCATTTTCATTAACCATGTGTTGAGAACTAACTTATATATGCAACAGAAAAATGTTAGAGGGAAAACTGCAGTATGAGTTGATACATATCTCATATGAGTCGACTCATATTAGTTACAAAATAGGGTATGAGTCGATACAATGTATTATGTATCAATACATACTGTTATCAAGACATATTACAGAGAGACAAAGTGTGCATGAGTCGATGCAAAACATGAATTTGTCGATGCAAAACAGGGTATGAGTCGATACAAACCATTATGTATCAATACATAGTGAGTTGATTTTTATTTCCAGAAGTAATAAGTGATATGTATTTATACATAAATGCATGTGTCGATGCATAAAGGTTTTTTAAAAACAGTTTTCCTTCTTTTTACATTATTTTTTATATTCTTATATATTTTTATTGTTATTCATTATTCAATATGGTTATAATAGTAATTAGGTTTTAATTGCTTTCATCCCCCATTTGTGATTTGTATTCCCATCCCCAAATGATGTAATAATGTAAAACTTTAATTCCCGTAATTTATCGCTTTCAATATTAGTGCTAGTAATTAGGGTTTGTATGGCAAGATATAAAATCAACAAGTAGATAATCCTAAATTCAAGACAAAAATGCACGAAATCAAAACACTTTACACACTTGCACCTCCAGGGTTAACCCACACTTGTTTCCTTAGAATAAAACAGTCATGTCCCTCGAACGTGGGATACTTTAGCAAAGACCCTCGATTACAAGATCGTAGTCCCTCGATGACCCTTCGATGTTGCCTTCGGTAAACGATCTTAGACCCTCACAAAAAATTGCTAAGGTATCCTAAAATATTGCCTTCTATGACTGTACAACGACCCACGCCTGTCCCTTCATATCCATTGATAAGGTTTCTTACGAACTAATGGTAAGATAACACTATCTAAAGGAGGAGGAAAAGAACTAAGACTTTTTTTAGTAGGTAGAACGCTCATAGTTGTTTGCTCACAAACTAAAATTATTTCCATACTCACACTTTCAAAACATCTTTCAAACACACCAACACTTTCCATGAAATATTTTCAAAAGTCAACACTTTGTATACATTTTTGCCGAAACGAGAATCATTATAAAGTTCGCCTAAATAAAGACACTTTTCAAATATACTTTCAAAACAAATCACAAGCACATTTATAACGCATTTCAAAAGTGAACTAGAAACTAAGAGCCCGTAGATAACTACGGATGATAAGGGTGCTAACATATTTCCTTTTCATAACCTATCCCCCAAACTCAAAAAATATCTCAAAAGGTCTTTCCTGTTCTTTTCACCCTTTCCTTTATTGGATAAAAGAAAAGTCGGTGGCGACTCTTGCTATCTGCAACAAATGCGATAAAACACAAAACACCTAAGTCAGTTCTCCCATCGTATCACAAGTAGCTTTGTGGTTCGACAAGTTCCACAGAACTTAGCATACAATCGAAGGTCGCTCACATGCTGGTGTCGAAGTAGTGTATATTGTAGTCGAAGTATGGTCAAGCATGCAGTTTTCAAAAATGCTAGATTTGTTAGCATGTTGAATTGGGTTTGGTTTTTTATGTTCAATTGTTTAAGTTAGCTTGTACCCTAAGTTAGTTTGTAATGAATATTTGTGAAGAAACTCACTAGTTTAGTATGTTAGGTTTATTATAAATAGCATACTAGTCTCTTATCATTGCATACTACAAATCCTAATTTAGGATGAGATAGGTTATTTGTTATTCTGTAACACTTGTAATCTTGTTTCAAAGAGAAAATAAAGAATAGAGTTAATAACCAATTTTTTATGTTCGTCTTGTTTTTCTGATTCCTACATTAAGGATTTCTTCTCGTCAAGGGAAATTTTTTATATTTTATTCTTGGTATCGTTTTTCACAACATATTAAAATAAAAGCCAAACTTTACCTAACATCCAATGTCTCTAACTGTGTAAAATCCTTTTACACTTTCAGGACATTTCTATTAAATTCTTTATATGTTAAATAAATTTTTATATTAAATTGAATTAGTTAAAATTAACGGTAAGTGAAGAGCATGTTTGAGCTTTGAAACAATGCATAATCCCCTTTATCTGTTGTTGTAGATGCCTTTTTTCATATTCTTTTATGCTTGTTCATATGTCTTCCTCTCAGCTCATGCCATCTTATCCCTATTTCACCACTATCTTCAATCTTCAAATCTTTCGACTTTGAAAATTCTTTAGATTCACCGCCGTTTGGGCTTCATCTAAAGTTATAGTACCTTTCTTACCATAAAGAAGTGCATTCTTAAAGTGCTAAAAGGATCTGGATAAAGAATTCAACAAGAGTAAAGCCTTGTCCTCATCTTCAATCTTTACTTCAATATTCTCAAGATCATCAATAATCTTGTGAAATTCTGTAAGTTGTTCAACTATGAATTTGTTTTCCACCATTCGGAATGAATAAAGTTGTTGTTTCAGACATAACTGATGAGCCAAAGATTTTGTCAATGATTCAAGTTTTTCTCACATATCAACTACAGATTGCTCTCTGACGACTTCTCTTAAAACTTTATTTCCGAGGCACAAGATAATGATACTTCTGGCCTTATCCACCATCTTGGTCTTCTGTTCCTATGTAAGCCCTACAGGCATCAATGCTTCACTCTTCAATGCATAAATGCACTTCTCTTGAATTAAAATTGTTTGCGTCTTAATTTTCCATAATCCGGAGTCGTTATTACAGGAAAATTTCTCGATTTTCCATTTGCCCATGATGCTCACTTATAAACGATACCCCTTTGTCCCACAGTGGACGCGACTTGTTGTGAACAATGACAAGATTCAATATCAATTTGTGAGTCAAAGAACAGTAGCAACCAAAAAAATGACCTATAATAATAATCAATACACAGATGATATAACAAAATAAGGCGAGAAAAAGGTGAAGGTTTGTTTACACAGTTCGATCAAATGATCTATTCTAGGGGAGATAGCGACTCTCCAATTCACTATACTTAGAAAGTTGTTACAAGAGATTACATATGAATTACAAGAAAATATTATCCGCCTTCGATTTTCCAAGAACAACCCTGAAGGTGCCAAAGAACAACCTTGTTTTCTACCCAAGTGTTTCACAACCTCTTCAACTCTCAATATATGAATAACTTAAATCCAATGTGTAATCAATGTTTCACAATGACCTTAAACAACTCCATAAACAACTCCAAAGGTTTCTAAATCTTTGCTCTTCTAAGATTTCCCTTCACTTGATCTTGAATCTTGTTCTCCCTTATTTCTGTAAACTCTGACATTGTCCCACTTTAAACACAATAAAGAGATACATATCTATAATAACAAAAATTCAAACCCAAAAACACAACTCATTAATTATTAGAACAAAATATTATAAATATCTTATAATATATTATATATTACTTTAAACTATTTATAAAATAATATATATCTAATATTCTAACATTAAATAACAACTCGAAATTACCTGTAAGAATTACCTGTAAGTGAAGAACGTGTATGAACTTTGAAACAATGAATAATCCCCTTTATCTCCCGTTGTAGATGCCTTCTTTCATTTTTTTTTTATGCTTGTTCATATGGCTTCTTCTCATCTCATCTCATCCCATCCCATCCCCATCTCAATCCCCATCCCATCTGTCCTTCCTTTTGTTATAGAAATTACTTAATACCTAAAGACACATTTATGCTGTATAATACAAATTAAATTATTTATTTGACCATGATCTTCTTTAATGAACTATTTTGAAATTCTTGTTTGTTATGAATGTAGCTGGTTTATATTGCTTTTGATTGTGCACCATGTGCTCAGAGAAGATTAGACTTTTGAGGTCTTTCATCTTGACCTCTTTGTGGAACATGTTCTTACAAATAATTTCAACTGGAACATGTTCTTAAAAATAATTTCAACTTTTCTTTATATCATGGTGAATGAACCAATAAAATAGAATCAAAATAAATGATTCGTTGCTTAAATTTTATTGCATACAGCATATCATATGCTCACATTTTCTCAAGAGAGAAACTGAACTAAACTAAACTAGCACACTCCACATGGCTTCAACCTCATCTTCTTTCGATCAAGGATATGTTTACCATGTTTTCTTAAGCTTCAGGGGCGAAGAAACACGCGAGACTTTTACAGAACATCTTTACAACGCTCTTGATCAAAGGGGAATCAACACTTCATAGATGATGAAGGGTTAAGGATTGGAGAAGAGATTTCACAATCTCTTCTTAATGCAATACAAGATTCAAGGATTTCAATCATCATATTCTCTAACAACTATGCTAACTCAACTTGGTGTCCTGATGAACTTGTCAAGATTCTTGACTGTAAGAAACAGAAAGGACAAGTTGTTTGCTCAGTTTTTTATAATATCAGTCCATCAGATGTTAGGCATCAGAGAGGAAGTTATGAAGAAGCTTTTGATATGCTTGAAGAAAAATTTCAAGATAAGAAGGAAAAGGTGAAGAAATGGAGGTTGACTTTGACTCAAGCTGCAAACCTCTCTGGCTGGCATTTTAGTAATGGGTATATAATGCTTTTTTTTCAAAGCATAGTTGATGAGGTGTCAAGAAAGTTGAATTGAATCCTTCTAATCGTTGCTACACAGGCGGTTGGACTCCAATCTCGCGTATCAGATGTTAACTCACTCTTAGAACTTGAATGCAATGATGTTAAAATGATAGGAATTCATGGTATTGGTAAAACAACCATTGCTAAAGCTGTGTACAACAAAATATATGACCAATTTCAACATGCGAGTTTTCTAGCAAATGTAAGAGAAAATGCAAGTCATAAGGTTGGTTTAGTTAAACTCCAAGAGAGACTTCTTTTTGAGATACTTGGAGAGCAAGGAATGAAATTAGGCAGTGTTGATAAAGGAATCAATGTAATAAAAGATAAGTTATGCAGAATAAAAGTTTTGCTTGTTATTGATAATGTGGATGATGTGGAGCAATTACAAGCATTAGTCGGTGGATTTGATTGGTTTGGTCCAGGAAGTCGGATTATCATAACTACAAGAGATAAACATTTGTTAACCGCTCATGAAATTGGTTTAACTTATGAGGTGAAAAAGTTAAATCATATTGAAAACACTTGGTTTCCCGTTATTGGAAACACTTGAACTCAGTGACTGCCGTCTATCAGATGAAGATCTACATATCGTTAGTTGCTTTTCCAACCTCACATCCTTAGACATATCAAGAAACCATTTTGTAACCATACCTAAATGCTTCAACAGACTCAGTACCTTGCAGGAGCTTTACATGACCAATTGCAAGAATCTTCAACAAATTCTTGGGATTCCATCTAATTTAGAGGATATAGATGCCACTAGTTGCACAATGCTGAATTCACAATCATTGAAAATGTTACTAAACCGGGTTTTTCTCTTTCACTTTAACTCTTCTAAGTCTTTTTAGATTGATTTTTATTTTAATTTATCTATTAGCATAAATACGTGTTACACTATTTGGGAGCCCTTTACCGAAACATCCTATGACATGTCCATAAGTGGATTTCAGCTTATTTCCATAAGCTCGCCATTATAAATTATGAAACTAACTTATAATTTCCATGATAATTATTTTATAATAGGGATTCCATAAGGCACTCAAATTTGAAGTTATAGCACCAAGGCCAATATTACCAATGCCATTCAGGTTCAACTACCATAGCAAATAATGATACATGTTAATAGTGTTGACACATTGTTAGGCAGTTAGTTTACTTTCAGTTATACCATTCTGTTAGAATATTTGCTTAGCTGTCACTTTCTGTTAGTGAAGCTTTAGTTAGTTTTGATCTAAGCCTCTCTATATAAAAGAGTGCTTTCTGTATCTTCAAGATTAACAAATACAAAATAACAGAATCTCATCTTCTCCAATTGCTTTCTTCTTTTCTCTTCTTACCTAACTCTATCATGGTATCTAGAGCTTAAATTTTTTTCGATCCATGGAGTCCTTGTTTCCGTCTTCGCAAGTGAAGCTTTCTCACTTGATCTCTGTGAAGCTTGATGAAAGGAACTTCAAGCAATGGAAGCAACAGATTGACGGAGTCGTACGCGGTCATCGCCTTCAACGGTTTGTTACTGTTCCGGTGATTCCTCAGAGATCACCGTCCGATTCCGATACTACACCACGTGGTGAAAATTCTGCGTACCTGGAGTGGGAACAACAAGACGCACTTGTCTGCACTTGGCTCCTCTCTACTGTATCAGATTCGCTTCTCCCAAAGCTTGTTGAGTGCAGACATTCGTGGCAGGTATGGACTGAAATCCATCGCTACTTCAATACGCTCCTCACAACCAAAGCGCGTCAACTGCGATCGGAGCTCCGACAGCTTACGAAAGGTACTCGCACTGTTACGGAACTCATCGCGCGTACACGCGAAATCAGCGAATCTCTGCTTTCGATTGGGGATCAAATTCCGTTACGTAACCTAATCGAGATCGTTCTTGATTCTTTGCCTGAAGAGTACGATCCAATTGTCGTTGCTGTCAACAGCAAAGATGAATTGAGTTCCTTGGATGAATTGGAGTCGTCACTGTTAGCGCATGAATCGCGCCTTGAGAAGCATCGTAAGGCTGTGGTTACTGAACCGACAACGGTGAATCTCACTCAGGCGCTGCCGTCGTCGTCCTTGACGGTTACCTCTGATCAACCAGCGCCGACGGACACTTTCCCTCAAGGTACGAGTCATGTGACTGCCAACGCTGATAATCACCCTTATGGTTCTCGTGGAGGTCGTTTCGGTCGTGGTGGTGGTCGCTATGCACGTGGTGGAGGCCGTTTTGGCAAAATGCAATGCCAGATTTGTCATAAAGCTGGACATGACGCGTCTGTCTGCTACTATCGTTACTCTAATTCCAGCAGTGCTGCATATCCACCTCCAAGAGCTTCGTATAATCCTTTCCTTATGCAATCATGCCCTATGTTTCCAGCTCAGTTTGGTTATTCTGTTCCCAGAGATAGTGCTCCTCCTAGATCTTCTGCACCACAGGCGTTTTATGCAGGTTCTGAAGCTGGTTTTAATAACCAATGGTGGTATCCTGATTCAGGAGCTTCTCATCATGTTACTCCCGATGCCTCTAATTTTTCTGACTCTGTTTCTTTTCCAGGAACTGAGCAAGTTTTCATGGGAAATGGCCAAGGTTTGTCTATAAATTATGTTGGTTCCATGTCCTTTCACTTGCCACATACTTCTAACCTATCTCTTACCCTTAGAAATCTGCTCCTTGTCCCTAATATAACCAAAAACTTAATGAGTGTGAGCAAATTTGCTCAAGATAATCATGTCTTTTTTGAATTTCATCCTAATTTCTGTGTTGTTAAATCTCAGGCTACTTCTGAAGTGTTACTTCGTGGGTCTGTTGGAGATGATGGACTTTACAAGTTCTCTAATCCTACCACTCAGCTATTCAAGTCTAGTTTTCCAAATTCTTGTTCTGCCCAACCTCCAAACTGCAGGGCTAGCTGTAATTTGTCCTTTTCATCTGCAGCACACAATACTCCTGTTATCAGTTGTTTACCAAATTGTATAAATCATTGTAATACTCTTTGTAATCTTGATCAGTTTCATATTAATACGAGCAGTTTTACTCATACTCCTTCTCTTAATTCCACTACTTACAATACTCATGTATCCTCTTCACATTCTAATAGTTCATCCTCCATAGCCACAAGTAAATATGTTCTTTGGCATACTAGATTGGGACACCCTAATCATCATTCTCTAGTTGAAGTTTTCAAACTATGCAACTTTCCCAATTTTCCCAAACCACCTACTGAATTGTGTCAAGCTTGCTGCCTTGGCAAGTCTCAGATTACCCTATACCCTATCTACCACTGTTTACACTCATCCCTTTGAATTAGTTGTCTGTGATCTTTGGGGTCCTGCACCTATAACATCTACAGGTGGTTACACATACTTCCTCACTTGTGTAGATGCCTTTTCTAGGTTTGTTTGGGTCTTTCCTCTCAAACTCAAATCTGATACATTTATCCAGTTTACTCAGTTTAAGAAAATGGTTGAACTTCAATTCAATTGTCCTATCAGATGTGTTCAAATTGATGGTGGAGGAGAGTTTAGGCCTCTCACCAAATATCTAAATGATTTGGGTATTGTTCATAGGCTCACCTGTCCTTATACTCATCATCAAAATGGCCTTGTTGAACGTAAGCATAGGCATATAGTTGAAACATGACTCACACTTCTAGCCCAATCCACTCTTCCTCTAAAATTTTGGGACCATGCCTTTGTCACAGCTGCCTATCTTATTAACAGAATACCTAGTCCCACAATTGACAATTTATCTCCTTATTTCAAACTTCTTAATAAGCCCCCAGATTATTCAAACCTTAAGGTCTTTGGCTGCTCTTGCTATCCCTTCCTTCGTCCCTATAATGCTCACAAGATAGCCTATAGGTCCCAAGAGTGCTTATTTCTTGACTATTCTACAACTCACAAAGGTTACAAGTTCCTAGCTCCTGATGGCCACATCTATATTTCCAAAGATGTGGTGTTTCACGAGTCTAAATTCCCATACCAGTCCTTGTTTCCCACTACATCTCAATCTTCCATTTCCAACACAAATCTCAATTCTACTAATGCTTCCTCCTGGTCATTACCTTCTATAATTTCATCCCCTGAATCCAGGAAGCCTACACCCTCTCCTTCCCTTAATCCTCCTTCTCCTACTCAGGCTGAACATCATCAATTTGTCTCTCCTTCAGTCTCTCAGTCTGAGTCTATCTCAGCTTCTCACTCTAGTTCTACTGCATCCCATATTCCTTCATGTTCTGCTACAGCTTCTCATACTCATGACCAACCAATCCTAGCTAATGCTGACCACACCCTTCCCTGTTCTCCTGCCCACATTCTTTCAGACCCTGTTGAAGCATCTACCATTTCTCCCTCTTCCTCTACAACTGGCTCCTCTAACCCTTCTCCCTCTAACCAACCTTTTATCAATCCTCTCAATGTGCATTCTATGCAAACCAGAGCCAAAAGTGGCATTACCTTACCTAAACTCAATCCCACAATGCTTTTAACTCACATGGAACCAACATCAATTGATCAAGCCTTGGCTACTCCTCATTGGTTCCAAGCAATGAAAGAAGAATTTCAGGCATTGATGAGAAATCAGACCTGGACTTTGGTGAAAGCACCTGATTCTAGAAAGCCAATTGGCTGCAAGTGGGTCTTTAGGACCAAAGAAAACCCTGATGGATCTATCAACGGGTACAAGGCCAGATTAGTTGCAAAAGGGTTTCATCAGAGGGCTGGCAGTGCTTTTCAGGAGACTTTTTCACCAGTCATCAAGCCTGTCACAGTCAGAACAGTCCTCACTATTGCTGTCACAAACAAATGGATCATCCAGCAAATTAATGTCAATAATGCATTTCTAAATGGCACTCTTGAGGAGGAAGTTTTCATGCAACAACCCCCTGGGTTTGCAGCCTCTGACAGGTCCCTAGTATGTAAGTTGAACAAAGCTATCTATGGGTTAAAACAAGCCCCTAGGGCCTGGTTTGACAAACTCAAGAGTGCCCTGTTTCAGCATGGTTTTCAAGCTAGTAGGTGTGATCCCAGCCTGTTTCTGCTCCATCAAGGCAAGCTTCAGATCATGGTTCTTGTATATGTTGATGATATCATCATTACAGGAAATTCAGCTTCCTTTATCACATCCTTGATCAAGCTTCTTAATGATAAATTCTCATTGAAACAGTTGGGACAACTTGACTACTTCCTAGGCATTCAGGTTTCTCACCTCCCTAATGGTTCCATTCTTCTCTCTCAAACAAAGTATCTTACTGATTTACTCTCAAAAGTAAATATGCTCAATGCTAATGCCATGCCCACTCCCATGGCTTCTACCAGTAAATTATCAAAGGTGGGTTCTATTCCCGTTGAGGATCCTACTCAGTTCAGATCTGTTGTGGGTGCCTTGCAGTATGCCACATTAACTAGGTCTGAAATTTCTTATTCTGTCAACAAAGTCTGTCAGTTCCTTTCCAATCCCCTGGAGGAACATTGGAAGGCAGTCAAAAGGATCCTAAGGTATTTGAGTGGCACCATAGAGCATGGGTTACTCTTGCAACCTGCCCCTGTTCATCAACCTATGCAGTTACTAGGGTTTTGTGATGCTGACTGGGCATCTGACCCTGATGACAGAAGATCCACTTCAGGCGCCTGTGTTTTTCTTGGCCCAAATGTCATCTCCTGGTGGTCCAAGAAGCAGCAGCTGGTGGCCAAATCCAGTGCTGAGGCTGAGTATCGTAGTATGGGTCTGTTGGCTGCTGAGTTATTGTGGATTCAGTCTCTGCTCAAAGAAATTAACTGTCCCTTTCATGTGCCAAAAATCTTATGCGACAACTTAAGTACAGTCACACTTGCCCATAATCCTATTCTCCATAATAGGACTAAACACATGGAGCTGGACATCTTTTTTGTGAGGGAAAAAGTTATGAGCAAAAGTCTCTCAGTAGTTCATGTCCCAGCTCAAGACCAGTGGGCTGACATCCTGACCAAACCTTTGTCTGCTGCCAAGTTTGTTCCTCTGCGTGGAAAGTTGAAGGTGTTTAACAAGAATGACTTATCCAGACCATCCTCAACTTCTAAAGGGGACTAATAGTGTTGACACATTGTTAGGCAGTTAGTTTACTTTCAGTTATACCATTCTGTTAGAATATTTGCTTAGCTGTCACTTTCTGTTAGTGAAGCTTTAGTTAGTTTTGATCTAAGCCTCTCTATATAAAATAGTGCTTTCTGTATCTTCAAGATTAACAAATACAGAATAACAGAATCTCATCTTCTCCAATTGCTTTCTTCTTTTCTCTTCTTACCTAACTCTATCACATGTCATGTCATTCTCGATTGGTCAGAAGTTTCCAAGAATTGCTCTATGCCTCATTTTTGAACTAGGAAATAAAAGAATCGGATATTTTGCTTGTGGAGTCTAGATATATATTAACGGACAGAGTGCATCCATTAGAGAAAAGTACTTCTTTTCAGTTTCTAGTGATCTGTATGGCTGTATCATCAAGAAAATTTGATAGATTTAAATACATATTTACTTCATGAACAGAGTCATGTGGAAGTTTTTTGTGAGATTTTCGGCGCAAGTAAAGGTGCAGATGTCACATTATACTTTTCTGGAGTTCATGTGTATAAGGAAGACGAGGAGGAGAAGAAGCCAAATATGATATTAAGCACAAGTTCTACTCCTTGTAATAATGAAAACTTTGATAACACCCAATTTTCAAGGGAAATACATGAATATCAATGTCAATATGAAGGTAACTTCGAACTTGATTGTTGCAGCTTGCCTGAGAATTTGGGATCCAATGCTATTAGAATGTCAGTTAAACTATATGAATGAGAAGAATAAAGGTAAGAGTGACTGGTATCTAACTCTATTGTGATTTGATATTGACCTTAAAAGTAATCACAATTTACTTATACATTGATTAATATATGATACTCTTACAATCTAATATCCATCCGCAGACAACATATTGCTGAGTCGTCAAGAATTGGAGCCAAAGGATCATGAAGATAGTCGCAGTGATAAATAAGAATTTAGTGAAACCGTAATGGTGACAGTATGGAATCATTTTATTCTGCCCTCCACGCGGAGACATTTTCTCCATTAGAAGATACTAGAGATGATTCAAAACTGGCTTATCATAAAATGAGTGAAGAAATCAAGAAAGCCTTGGAAATTTTGAAAGAGCTACTCTCAAAACAAATTTCTCATCTTCTAGAACCAACATCATCAACATCTATGAAAACTACTTTGGAATATCTTTGTACTTTAATTGCAGATGATGATGAAGTCTCAATGAGGATAAGGTCTGTAATATTACAACTTTTAGCTGACTTTACTCAGTGGAGCTGTGACTACAATGATGCAAACATGAAAATTGAGGCCTCAACTTTAGTACTATCAAAGCTACAAAAACTTGAAGAGGGTGTTGTAGCCAACAAGGATCAGTTCAGTGAGTTTGTGTCCATAGAAAGCGAGTTAACAAGCCAACTAGTTCATTTGGAAGAAAGAATGAAAGAGCTACAAGAGCAAATTAGTGTCATTAACGAGAACATTTCAATCTCTGAAGTGGCTAGGGACGCTGCAGTTAGAAAGAAAAGAGAAACTTTTGAGGAAGGAAGAGAGTTGAAAGCTCAAAGAGATGAGTTGAGGAAGCGAAGGTTGCGCTTGAGAGTAGAACAAGAATTAGCCAAAGCCACCAAAGGATACATTGAGGATGAGTGGTCAAAGATTGGAAAGAAATTTGATAAAATCATTTTTTTTCACTGATTTTCCAATGGTTGTAAAAACTAGATCTTGATAATTTAGTATATTTGGAGTTAAATACAGAAAAGTGTATGTATTAAGTACTTCCAAACAGGAATAACTTAATAGTAAATAAGTTACAAAGTTATTTATGTGAAGGTTCCGAGGTCAACTCTTCAAAATTGATGCTTCCAATGAATTGTTCTCCAAGCTTTGACCACTCTTCTTCAATATTTGCTTGTGTTATATTTGCCAATTCCTTCTCAGCTTTCAACCTTGGCACTTGGTTCCTCAAATCATCCCTTTCAGCTTTCAGCACAGTTCCTTTCTGAAACAATTCTGTCTTTCTCTTAGCAACCGTGTCTCGCTGTGCTGAAAAATCATAAATCTCAGCTTTTATGGCATTCAATTTCTCTTCAAGTTCTCTCTTCTCTTCTTGCAAGCAGACCAACTGATTCGACAAACACTTCTCCACCATGTCCATTTCTCGGAAATCTTTCACATTATCCTCAAGATAACCTTTCACTTTCTCAGCTTTTGTTAGATTTGTAGTCGCTGACTCAAGTTTAATGTTTGCATTGTTGTAATCCAAGCTCCACTGAGAAAATCCATGTGAAAGCTGCAGTATTATTGATTTTGATTTCAGAGACAATCCTTCATTTGGTGTTAAACTGAGTAGGTACTTGATAATATCTTTCATCAATCCGGAACGTCCTGGATGTAGCAAAAGAGAGAACTTTTTTGAGACAAAGTCTAGTAGAATCTGCAATGCTTTCTGAGTTTCTTCACTAGGCCTAGTTCTCACAGCTTCATTGTCTGGTAGAACTTGTAAAGAAGAAGTTATTTCTGCTTCAAGCGAAGCATAAAATTCTTCCATATTGTCTTTATTTATGGTGGACTCTGCATTTAAGATAAGTTGTTTTCTTTTTGTTGAATCAACTTCGATTTGTTCAACTAACTGTGTTCCCTTGTCTGTGCTTGTTTGATGTAATGGTACTTGATTCCTGAGAGCATGAGAAATGAAATGATTAAACAAAAGATATGTATTCTCCTATGTATATTTTATCAATAGAAATGAACTATGTAGCACGACACTTCTGAGAAAATGTGTCATTGTGTCAGTGTCTGAAACCGACACAGGGCTTTAGTCTTACCAGATACTTGTAACAAGGGGTTCTTCTTCTGTTTCAGTCGAAGGATCAAGCAAGATTTTGCTGGAATTGGCATCTGCAAGAAAAGAAAATTTGAAATTAGTGAGGTTGTGATAGTCACTTGTCTGAATCTATAATCTTGGAATTCAAAACATGTCTATCAATGTAGAATTGTAAACTCGTCAACTCCCTAGAAAATGGAGAGTTTATAGATTTCGTGGGTAAACTCATTTTTGAGTTCTAGAAGCATATACTCGTAAGAGTTTAACTGGAGAGTTTGATAACCTTAGTAAGTTGTTAATATGTACTACCTATGGAAAATGACGGACACCAGAAACACGATACCAACACGGACGCTGACACATATTTTTTCCAGAGATGTTTGTACTATAGAGTGTGCTACTATACCTTTTTCATTGTCGTTTAACACAGGTTCAAACATTTCTAAGATTTGATGATTGAGGGAAGATGAATTGTGTTCCTCTTCCATGTACTGGCAGTCAATGTCAGTGTCACTGTCTATTTCCAACTCCTCATCAAAGTCATATTCATTATCAACTTTTCTCTTGCTGGATTGAAGATCACTCATGGCCTCTAATATAGTCTTGTTAAAATATTTAGAAAATATTGAAGGAAAAACAACATCATCGCTGACTTCATCATAGATATCAAAACCATCATTATCACGGGCCATATTTGAGCTTTGAAGATCGGGACTTATGAAGGAGACATGGTGAATATTCATTCTATCTTTGTATAGATGAATTCCACAACATTTTATAGTTAAATTTTTTGACTCATCAATGACTGAACATGAAATCTCCACATGATTCCAACTAGATTTTATTTTTTCATTGAAGCCTTGCCACTCGCTCGCGGTGAGGTGAGTTCGCAGATCAAAAAGCCATATATGATCAACTGGCCACTCGCTTCTTCCTTGGAATACTTGTATGCCATTTATTAGTACGCAGAATTCACATGTATAATTTGTTTTCCTTTCATCATCATCACCACATAAAAGAAAAAACAGAGCGATTGTAGGGAAGCTTTTACGAATCCAAAAGGCGACACACTCTCCTTTATTACAATGATCAAACCAACTCGGAATTTTTTTCCTTGGAACAACTATGTCTATGTACTCAACTTCCAGAAATGCCTGCTTAGGAATAGAAGTGTTCATTATTAGTATCTCAAGCGAGATGTCAATGCAAAAGATTGTTAGAAAATCAACATCAATTCAAAAGAAAACGTATGCGGAAAAAAACACAAACAGAGAACACAAAGGATTTTATCAAAGAGTTCGGCCAATTTTTACAGTATCTTTGGTTGCAGAGTGGATACAGTGCCTTACTATTATTCAAGTTTAGGGTTTTAAATTACAACTTGAGTTTAAATACTGCAAGTGGTATCAACAAAGGAAAAGAAGGAAGAAGAATAACCTGGCTCAATAATACGTCTGATGATTGAGGAGTCAATGCCATACACTTCCTTGCATCTATATATTGCAAATATGGCGGAAGCACTGAAATATCTCTAAGATGCTTGCAGTTTTCTATGTTAAGAAGCAAGAGATGAGAAAGGTCTTCAATGCAATCAGGAATGGTCAAGAAGTTGTTATCGGATAGGATCAACCATTTTAATTGTAGAAAACATTTGAGAATTAACTCAAGATCTTCATCTGACAGATTACAATTCTTTAGACTCAGATTGCTCAACTTTGGAAGCCAATCATTAGTCCTGTCTTCCAATGACTTCCATAGGAGTTTTGGAAGTTGAGGACATCCTTCCACATTCAGCTCTTCAATACTTTGAAACATATCTGTGTTACTAGGTAGATCTTCAACATTTGTGCATGATGTCAATACTAACTCTTCAAGGCCTTTGAAGTTTTCAATTGAACTAGGAAATTTTTTTATGGCTGTCCCTCCGATGTCAATATTTTTCATATTTTCCACTTTTGCCAATACATCTGGGAAACTTTGAATGTTTGAACACTTTCTAAGATTAAGGTATTCCAGATATTTTGATCTCAGGCCACGCGGAAAACTCTTGAGTTTAGGGCATTCTTCAGTGCTTAATGTGACTAGTTTGTCAAGATCTCCAACAGATTCATGAATGTCAACCAAGTTTCGACAATTATTAACGAGAATTCTTGTTAGATTTGGGGTTGCAGATACATCAGGTAGTTTTGTTAGAGAGTCACAATCACTGAAGTTCATAAAGGTCAAATGCTCAAACTTCTGCACAACAAGAACAATTGGTGATTAGAAATTTAGATACGCAAGTTACTAGGTGGATCTAATCTCATTCAACGCCCGACTCTTAACAAGTAACATGACATATAGATAGATAAATAAGGATCAAATTCGAACACATACCTTGAATGGCTCATCCATTTTTATACGACTCTTTGGTAAATTGAGTACAACAAGTGTCTTTGGATGAAAATTATCAGGTAGAGATGTTAAAGGATATTTGTTCCACTCAAGCAATCTCAAGTTATTCGGAAGGTATTGAGGTGCTCCAGAAACTTGTCCATTCCTAACTATGAGGATTCTAAGCCTTCGCATATTATCAAAGGTGTTGGCTTTTAATTGAACTTCTTGTTTTAGGCTAGGCATATCCAACACAATGCCTTCAATTGTATCACTTCCCTTTTTGAATTCAACCACCAACCATGTAAAAATCAATTTTGACAAATTTCGATATTAGTGAAATTTCAGAAGGCGAGTAAAAAGAAGGCTTTAAAAGTTAAACTCACTGTGCTTTCTGTCAAGACTTCAAAAACATCCTCATGATGCCATAGTCTTCTGCGTTTGCTCGGATCAAACGGCGACTCATTTCTAGCAATGTTTTTACCAAGGTCTTGTACAAGATCATGCATCTTTACTGAATTGGATTCACCAATTGTTACAAGAGATTTGTCGACAAGTACTCCAATGCCATATTTTGAATAAAACCGACTTTCATCTAGTGTCTTTTCCACATCTGCCTTCGGATATCCTTTGAAGAAACAAGCAATGTCAAGGAAAATTTCCTTTTCATTATCATCCAAATTGTCATAGCTTACTTTAAGGACATTGAGAATCTCTTTGCTTGGGATTGTTTCATATTTATTCAACGCACTCTTCCATTCTTCTACGGTTTTGCCAAATAAATCAGATCCTATTACATTCAAAGCTAATGGATGACCTTTTGCATATTGCATTACACTTTTTGCTATCTCCACATAACTTGGATCAGGCACACTTTTTCTAAAAGCGTTCATACTAAAAAGCTCAAGAGATTCACGATCATTCAGTTCTTTCACTTCATATAGTTTATCTTTTTCAACTCCATGGGTAGTTAACAAATGTTTATCTCTGGTTGTTATGATAATCCTACTTCCAAAACCAAACCAATCATTTCTTCCAACCAATGATCTTAACTGTTGAAGATTATCGACATCGTCGAGAATGAAAAGAACCTTCTTATTGCGAAGCCGTCTTCTTAATATTGGAATTCCTTTGCTCACATCATCCAGTTTGATATTTTCGTCTAGCAAATGAAGCAAAAGGGTCTCTTGCAAGTGTACTAGACCATGTTTCATTGAATTTTCTCTTACATCAACAAGAAAACTTGAGCTATCAAACTTTCTAGAAATTGAGTTATATACTGCTCTAGCTAGTGTTGTTTTACCAATGCCACCAATTCCACAAATTCCAACCATGCAAACATCATCATCATTAGACTTTATTTCTAGAAGTGATAACACTTGAGACATTTTGTAATTCAATCCAACTGGATTATCAGCTATGTGTAAGGGTGTTACATTTAATTTATTCGATACTTCTTCGGTGATCTTTTGAATTAATTCATACTCATACCTACAAAATTCGTGACAAAATTTAAGTTCTTTAAATTGACTTTATTTGTTAATAAGTAAGAAACTAAGTTAAGTCTAACAAATTTATCTCACTAATTTGAACGAGTAGGGATCCTCCGCGTATATATAAAATTGAATATTGATTTAGAAATATTTTAGAAAATTTATAAAAATGTCATAGAAAAATTTTGTTATATTTTTTAAAAGTGTTTAGAAGGCACACCATGTAAATAAGGTTTAAGTCACTATCTCCATTCCTTTCAATGTTAATCATCAAATAATCAAGTCTGCATAACTATTGTTTCATTTTTTTACTCAAATAAAAGAATCTCTATCTAACTTCTAGTTTAAATTTAACCAAAAGAAAAAAAATGTATTCCAAATTTGTTCTTTCAACATTCACATATTTTAGAGGAACTTATATTGTCATTTGGATTCTTTTTATTTTTCTTTCTAACTAAGTGCATCTAAAAAAATGGACTTAAAAAGTATAGGAAGTTTCATCCATCTCATGAAATGTATCTCTTAAGTTTCAACCCATTTGCATATTTTTTAAAATTTGAATTGATTTTCCAACAAAAGAAATCAGGCCAAATAATTGGAGAAAAATTGTAATATAATTTACCCAAAACTATATCAATCTATGATGAATGAGTTGAAAGAAAATCTAGCAAGTAAGGCAAGAGATATGTGTTTATACCCATTTTTGAAATGCCATCCTGATAAATTTGCAGCTGATGAGAGTGCACTTCTCCACTTACATACTTTTTCTTTACTAATTTTGATATTTTCTTCATGCTTAGCCATTGACCTTCCAAAACTTTCCCTCTGATGCCTGACATTTGAAGGGTCGACATAGTAGAAAACTAGACGAACCAGTTGTCCTTTTTCTTTCTTACACTCCATGATCTTGACAAGTTCATCAAGACACCAAGTTGAGGATGCATAATTTTCTGAGAAAACAATTATGGCAATCCTAGACTCATCAATTGCTTGGAGAAGATCTTCTGAAATCTCTTCTCCTTTCTTCAGTTTGATGTCATCTTTAAAAGTGTTGATTCCCTTTCGGCGCAAGGTATTATAAAGATTGCCTGTGAAACCGTAACGAGTGTCATCGCCGTAGAAACTCACAAACACATCATATGTCCAACCGTGGTTGAAAGAAGTAGATGAAGAGTTTTTCATAACAGCTGTAAATATGTTTTATATACCAAGCTATACACTTTCAAAAATAAGAACAACATAAATTGCCATAAAAACTAGAAGCTATGCAGTTTAACCAATTTTTTCAAGTATATAACTCTAATAAAACTATTGAAATTATCAAATTGGAATTTAAAATAAAAGTCAACAAAAAATAAATCTCGATAATATTGATGTTGGTGGGATGCATGTCATGTAACTTCGGATTAATTAAAAAATTTAATGCACAAAAAGACATGATTATTTATATTATACAAAACGAATGCATAGATTATATTTAACAAATGCATAGTACAACGAAGCATATAGTACCAAATTGCTTTGATCTTTAAATAACAGAAAGGAATAATCATTTTTTAAATAGAAAAATTAACAAAGAATTATGTTATATATTATTATCTATATAATAATATTTGTAGCATATCCAGGAACACTCTATGCAAAAACAAAATCCAGAATCACCAAGCCAACATTAACCAAATTGGGAGAAACATCAGGTGGCCATTCAACAAAGCCAAAAATATCTAGGAAAATAGAGGCAAATCAGAAGATATACCTGGTGAGAGAATTTGATAGGATCTGTACTGAAGGAACAATCCCACAAGCTAGAAGGAAATACTTGCAAGACCAGAAACTCAAATGCACCCATATTCAGACTTAATACTTATGTGATTTTTGGTTTATAAATCCCATTTTTTTAACTCGGCCTTTGTTTTTCAAGCTTCGTCGAAGGGTTTGCCACCAATGAAGCTTCTTTTGCTTATGTCCATGTGCATTATTATGAGACCCTTTAACCAAACCATGTTTGGAAGGCTTTGGCTTCTTTGAATGCCGGATGTGTCTCAGTAGTCCTTCCACAAATCTATGAAAATAACGCTCTTTGCAGACTCTGCATTATATGGATGAAGCCTACAATTCTGATATGCCACTTGACTCTGACTCAATGATTCATTTCGATCTAAAAAGGGTTCTTCAGCTGCATTTTCTGAAAACAAATCTTCCCCTTTGTAACTTGAATCACAAGTGTGCTGATTCATTAGCCTATGTCCTTCCAAGAGAGACTTTTAACAATTAAACTGACTTCTTGCAGCAATGTCTTTTCTTCGTATTTTAGGACTTTCCAAAGTAGCTACTTTCTGCCAAGGATCGCGAACTGCACTATTGCTCTTACTGGATTTCACCAAATTTGAGCAAAGTTTATAAGCCAAAATGCGAGATTCAATTCTTTTTATCGCAGCCCTTCTGTTCTAGGCATTCAGCAAATCTGGCAGCATTCTGCAATGGCATATTATTGTCATTATTGGACTCACCAACTTTTGCATAAAACATTTGCAATGATTCTTCTGCATGCTTACCAAGACCATATAAAGCATTCACATTATTATGTTGTTGTTCATGATGATTACTCTCTATCTTTGGTGAAACATGTGTCGTGTACAAGTGTGAGTTATTAGTCTCACATTGTTTGTAATAGTAGAGGTTTGTTGGTGCAAGGTGATGAAATTGAGGAAAAAGAGAGAAAATGATAAATGCTATAAAGCTGCCACAAATGATTGAAAGACGATTGATTGTATTAAATGAAACCTAGTACACCTATTTATACACAAAAAATAGTAAAAATAAGAATGCCACATAGGCCCTAAAAGAGAACATACAAAAATGACAAATACTAAATTACCCTCTAATACCATCCCGTAATTTAGTAATTATCAGAAACTAACAACACCAATTTCATTTTTCAAATGAAGAAATTGTTCTGTTTTTATTGCCTTCGTCAGAACATCTATCAGCTGCTTCTGAGTGCTACAGTGCAGAACTTCTAACACTCCTTTCTGCACTTGACTTCTTAGAAAATGATACTTCGTCTTAATATGCTTGCTTCTTCCATGCAGCACTGGATTCTTAGCAAGATTGATTGCAGACTTGTTATCAATTAACAATTTCAAAGGTTTCTCTATCTCAATCTTCAAATCCTCTAGAAGATTCAGAAGCCAAACAACTTGACATGCAGCTACAACATCTGCAATGTATTTAGCTTGACATGTTGACAGAACCACAACAGGATGTTTCTTGAAACTCCAAGAAATTGGACCTCCCAGAAACTTGAACAAGTAACCAGAAGTACTTCTTCTGTCAACTCTGTCTCCACACCAGTCAGAATCAGAATAACTCACTAATTCTGGTTTTGTCTGTCTTCCAAAAAGAAATAGCACTCCATATTTCAGAGTTCCTTTGATATACCTCAGAATCCTGACAGCATCTTGGTAATGAGACCACTTTGGTTTGCTCATAAATCTGCTAACCATTCCAATTGCATAACAAATGTCAGGTATGGTATTGTACAAGTACCTAAGAGAACCAACCAACTGCTTGAAGGTTGTAGCATCCACATAATCACCGAATCAGAATCTAATTTATGATTGGTTTCTGATGGTGTCACAACAACTTTGCAATTCTGCAGCTTAAATCTCTTCAGAAGTTCAAGTTCATACTTCAGCTGATGTAGAATGATACCCTTCTTTAAGTACATAATCACAATTCTTCCCCTTACCGGCCAAAGATGAATGGTGTTGTCGAAGTCGCAAATAAGAACATCAAAAAGATCATACAGAAAATGACAGTCACATACAAGGACTGGCATGAGATACTACCATTCTCTCCATGGATATCGTACCACAACTCGCACATCAACCGGGGAAACACCCTCCTCTCTGGTATACGGCATGGAGGTTGTCTTTCCTATTGAGGTTCAGATCCCCTCTCTAAGAATTATGAAGGATGCAGACCTGAATGAAGAAGATTGGATCCGGACTCGACTTGATCAATTAAACTTGATTGATGAGAAAAGGCTCACTGTTGTCTGTCATGGTCAAATGTATCAAAAATGTATGATCAAGGCTTTCAACAAAAAGGTCAGACAACAAGTGTATCAAGTCGGAGATCTGATGATCAAACGTTCATATTGTCGCAAGGTGATCCCAGGGGCAAATGGACTCCTACATACGAAAGACCATTTGTAATCAAAAGCATTTTCTCTGGTGGAGCAATGATCTTGGCTACCATGGACGGTGACGACCTGCCGCACCTTGTGAACGCAGACATAGTCAAAAGCTACTATGCATAAGAGATCCGCTAGGTTGACACACCTAGGAAAAACAAGGGCATCTCGGCGAACCAAAGAGGTTCGGGCAAAAATTAGGGATAAAACAAAAAAATTTGTACACCCGGCAAGCTGAAAACCCGAAAGGGCGGCTTGGGCAAAAAAGGGTATCCCGGTGGACTGAAAACCCGAAAGGACGGTCCAGGCAAAAGTTAGGGAATTAAAGCATATGACTATGTCCCGTTGGATCACCTTACGGGCAAACTGGAAAACTCAGAGGTTCTGATCAATTCAATCAACTTCGGACAAGGAAGCAAGTGGACAAGATGCTCAGAGACACGAAGACTATAGCAGAATGGGAACCCCATGGGATTATTTCAGATAGCTATCTTTCCTTTGTATCAAATTTTCATTTTTTACGACGACATTCTCTTACTAGAATGGTTGTCTCATTATACAAAAATACTTACTCAAAGTCAATACAAAGATATCCCTTTGAAAGTGCAAAATTATCTGTTTTTCTTTACTCTTGTTTTTGTTTACAAAAACGTCCAATGATTTATTGTTGAACATATGCATTTGAATATAATCACTGTTTACAAATAAACAAAATAGAAAGACAATCACTGATGGCTTTAAGAGATAGGGAAATCTCTCTAAGCTATTTCCATGAAATCTCCCACAGTGTGCAATCTAATCCCCAACGGAACAAAGCTTCCAGTTATCAATCCCTAGTAGAAGTCGTCTAATTTCTCAGGATTCCCCAACAGGATTTTACAAGCAGTGTGCGGCGTTCCCTTTACAACAAAGTTTATTTCTCTAAAAGGAAATTCATCAACACTTCAACTTCACAACATAAAGACTTACACTTCATATCCTCGGCAACAGTTAGGGATTTATTTTCCCTATTCAACAGCAGCGCAACAGATTAGCTCACATACACATACATCACATCCTTATATCATGAAAATTGATAACACGAATGCATATATCACAATATCAGTGTACCATGCATTTCATACATTATGATATTGCTTACAACTAATATTTTACCCTTTTTAGGATAAGATTAGTCAATGGCTATCATCAACAAATTACAAAGGTCAGAGGTTGGTACCTAAGACAAGCCAAGACAATTATCTACACGACCAACTGAAGCAATCCAGCCCAGGTTCTTCAGATTCAACTCAGATACAGTTCAGATACGCTCTAGACACGAATGTCATTCTGATACTTGTTCAGATTCAACCTTCAGATACAGTTCAGATACGCTCTAGACACAAATGTCATTCTGATACTCATTCAGATTCAGTTTACAGATACAGTTCCGATACGCTACAGACACGAATGTCATCCTGATACTCATTCAGATTCAATTCTCAGATTCAGTTCAGATACGCTCCAGACACGGATGCCATTCTGATACTTATTCAGATTCAAATTTCAGATACAGTTCAGATACGCTCCAGACACGGATGCCATTCTGATACTTATTCAGATTCAACTCTCAGATACAATTCAGATACGCTCCAGAAACGGATGCCATCCTGATACTCATTCAGATTCAATTCTCAGATACAGTTTAGATACGCTCCATACATGGATTCCATTCTAATACTTATTCAGATTCAACTTTCAGATACAGTACATATACGCTCCAGACACGGATGCCATCCTGATACTCATTCAGATACAGTTCAGATACGTTCCAAACACGGATGCCATTCTGATACTCATTCAGATTCAACTTTCAGATACAGTTCAGATACGCTCCAGACACGGATGCCATTCTGATACTCATTCATATTCAACTTTCAGACTCAGTTCATATACGCTCCAGACACGGATGTCATTCCGATACTCATTCAGATTCAACTTTCAG